ATGGGAGGAAGGGAGATTCTGACATATAGGTGTGTGTGTGTCTAATGCGTAGTTATGAAATTGTCAGGCAGTCCCAGCCTTGCACTCCTGCAAAGTGCTCACCCCAGTGGCACCCCTCTCACCCCACAGGACCCTCGTCTTGGGCCAGGGCAGCCAGAATCCTGCAGTGTGTTTATGCTCAATCTTAGCCACAGAATACTATGTAGGAGTGACCGTTGTGACTTGCTTAATTGTAATATTTTTGGATGATATGAATATGAACAATAAACTTGTCTTGTCAAATCTTTCTACAAAGGAATACACTATTATACCTAGTGACTGAGTGGAGGCCTTTAAATTTCTTTTTCTCTTGTTTGTCTTTTAATTACTACTTCATTGTCAAATGAGTTATGGCTGTGGGTTCACAAGCGCTAATTACCACAGTACTGTAGCTAAAACACCAGGCAATTTGACGAAAACATTGGCAGCACAGAAACAACAGTGCAGAAGAAACCACGTTGTTGGAATCCTCAGTGCAATTCGATGACAATAACAGCTCTGACTGGAGGGCACTAGAAGGTTCAAGAACTAAATTAGCATAGTGTTTTAGCCTTTAGGGATATGGATACATATAAGCAGGAAGGACACACTGAGTCAAACTTAAATCAAAAGAACACAGGACAAAATGCAAGCCTCGAGTTGCAATGTTGAAAGATTCTATGGGTGATATATTGAATGATGCGGGGAGCATCTAAAGCAGATGGAAAGAATACACAGAGTCACTACACCAAAAAGAACCAGTCGACATCCCACCAATTCAAGAGCTAGTATAAGAAAAAGAACCAATGGAAATAAACAAAGAAGTCCAAGCTACACTGAAAACATTAGCCAGAAACAAGGCTCCAGGAATTAACGGAAAACCAATGATCATCAGGGTTGTATCCTCTCACTCTACTTATTCAGTCTATATGCTGAGCAAATCATCAGCAAAGCTGGGCTCTATGAAGAAGAACTCGGTTTCAGGATTAGAGGAAAGCTTACTAACAACAATGGAGATGCAGATGACACAACACTGCTTGCTGGAAGTGGACCTCTTTAAAGGGTTGAGAAGCAAGGATGTCACTTTGAGGATGAAGGCGCTTTCAATGGCCACATATTCATGTGAATGGGGGACACTGAATAAGGAAGCCTGAAAAGTGTGGATGCATTTGAACTAAAGTGCTGGCAAAGACTACTGAAAGTACCATGGACTGCCAGAGGAACAAACCAATCCATCTCGGAAGAAGTGCAGCCAGAGTGCTCCCTAGAAGCCAGGATGGTGAGACTTGGTCTCACGCATTTTGGACAGGTTGTCAGGAGAGAGCAGTCCCTGGAGAAGGACATGCTGCTTGGTACAGTAGAGGGGCAGCGACAAAGTGGAAGGCCCTGAACAAGATGGATTGACCCCGTGGCCTCAGCAATGGGCTCAAACATTAAGAACAGTAGTATGGATGGCCCTTGTCCGGGCAGTGTTTCTTTCTGCTGAAACCAGCTCAAGAGCACCTACAACAGCAGCAATAACAACCTGGGCCTATGAAAAATGCTTGTTCTTTTTGTTAACTGATTACAGGTGCATTTTTATTAAGCACATGATAAAGAATCAGTTTCTACTGAAACTGCGCAAAAATTTTTAGGCAGACTGGAGATCCCCTTGAAGAGGGGTCTCGGGGAGGAGACGAGCCAGTCAGGGTGCGATTTAGCAACGATGAAAAATACAACTTGCCTCTAGTTCCTAAATGTTTCCTCCCCACCCCCACTATCATGACATGAATTCTACCTTGCAAGTCTGGCTAGACCAGAAGATGTACACTGGGACAGATAGGAACTGGAACTACTGGGAATCCAGGGCAGATGAGCCCTACAGGACCAGTGGTGTGAGTGGCGATACTGGGAGGGTAGAGGGAGAATGAGTAGGAAAGAGGAAACCGATGACAAGGAACTATATGTGACCTCCTCCCTGGGGCACGGACAACCAAAAAGGGGGTGAAGGGAGACGTCAGACAGGGCAAGATATGACAAAATAACAATTTATAAATTATCAAGGGCTCATGAGGGAGGGGGAGCGGGGAGGGAGGGGAACAATGAGGACCTGATGCCGGGGGCTTAAGTGGAGAGGAAGTGTTTTGAGAATGACGAGGGCAATGAATGTACAAATGTGCTTTACACAATGGATGTATGTATGGATTGTGATAAGAGTTCTATGAGCCCCTAATAAAACCCTTTTAGGCAGTCCGTTGGGTGTCACCCCCTCGGATCACATCTCCTGGTGTGGTCCACAACTGCCCACAGCCGTTGAGTGGTCCTGCTGCCTAGGTTCTGAGTGCCACCCATGCTTTCGGAGGCTCAGAACTTGGCCAGTTGACGCCACTGGCGGCGGAGAAGCATGCAGTGCGCTCCAACCGGGCCTGCTGCTTGTCCTTCCACAGGCCCCAGCTTTGGCCGCCATCACTCTCTGCTTTCTGTTTTCTTTTCTCTCCCCTGACACAGTGACCAGGGTGGAATTCGTAGGCCATCTACTCATGGGGAAATGCCATGAGAAGGCCCAGCAGGCTGCTGATGCCCCCGTGCTGGGGGATGAGTGGGGTGAAAGCATTAGTAAGGACAAGAGGAAGAACAAACCCGAGAATCCTTCTCCCCTTTCCACCAGGCCTGGAGTTGCAAGGCCTAGCACAGGGCGGCCCTGTGATGCCCGTCCACCTCCTGGTGGGCATGGAATTGGGGGGGGAGTGCTGTACACTTCCCCTACTGAATAGCCCCTGCTTTCAAGAGCTGCCAGATCTGACCACACAGAGGCGGAAGTTCAGGTCTCCATGAGAGCAATCTTATTCAGCATGGACTTTGTACCTAACAGGTCTGTTCAGAGTGTGGGTTTAACCCATGACGTCCTCACCACAACTTCTTTGGAATAAGAAACCTTCTCCGGGAGGTTAAGGCACGGAGGATAGAAAGTTCTGGAAGCAGTGTCGTGTGTGTGTGTGTGTGTGTGTGTGTGTGTGTGTGTGTGTGTGTGTATGGGGTGGGGGTGTTAATCAGTGTGAGCTCTGTAGCCAGATGTCCTGCTTTGGCCTGGCCTTGCTGTGTGACAGTGGGCAATTCGGGTCACTTCTCTGTATCTCTGGGAACTAGAGCCAGCCTTAACTCTAAGGATTGATGTGAGGAAAGGCAGAGAAAGTAAGAGTCCTGGCTTGTAATCTCGGTCCCTGGGGCAATTACAGCATTTCTGGGGAGTGCTCTATCCTGCCCCTCACCTCAGCCCACTGGGCTGCTGGGCCCACTTCCCGAACACTTTCTTCAGCCCCACGTTGGTCAGTGTTAAGAAGTTTCTCTCTGAACTAGCTGAGCCGACTCCGGGGCAACACAGACAGGCTACCAAGGGACCCCGATGACGACAAAACAAAGTGAAAAGGCTCACAATGATAGATGGTGATGCGTCTCCAGGCTGAGCATCTTCCCTGCTAACGAAAGGGTCCCAGGCTTGGTGCTGGTGCTCCACCGAGCTAGCTGCAGAAGTCCATGTAAACAGATGGCAACAGCCCTATAACAAAATCAAACCACAGTGCTCCTGAACCCTGGCCTGCCTGCTGGCCCATGCCATGGCCCCAAGCACCTACTGGGGGAGCGATCCTTCAGGGCCTGAGGCGGAAGGAGCTGCAGGAGTTGGACAGGAGACATAATGTGGGAAGGGAAGACCAAAGGAAAGGCTGAGGGTGCCCTGTGGTGGGTGGGGGCAAGGCAAGAGCTGCCAGTACTTCCAGGTCACTAGATGGGGCTGGAGCCTAAGGAGGGAGGGGGACCAGATGCTGGGCCTCTGAAGATTTCCGAGAGAGTTTGACACAGGATCAGATCACTGAGCAAGACAAGCAGCAGAGTAAGGGATGACTTCAGGGTGAGGGTGGGGGGGACTGGCTAAGAGGTGACTGTGAAAGTTCAGACCAAGAATTAAGAGGGATCAGATCAATGGAGAGGTGGGCATCCTTGGAGGGAGAGCTCCTTTTGGTGGGCTGAAGCCAGTGATGAGCATTCAGCCACAGGGGTGGGCTGGCCCTCATTTGGGAAGACTGTGGCATTCCCTACCCCTTACTGCCTCATGGTGAGATGCTGCATGGAGGGTCCCTGTGGCAAGGACTGGCAGAGTGAGCTTGAGAAGGAAGCCTCCCCAAGGTGAGCTTTGGATTGGCTTGACTTGGCGCCAGAGGACCCAGTGAGGCTGTGCCTGGATTTCTGACCCACCGAAATGACAAGGGAACCCATGTGTGTTGTCCTGAACGGATGCTTTGGGGATCCGCTGGATAGCAGGATGGCTAAGATCACAGGCGAGGAGGGTAGGGGAGCAGACTCAAGCACTTTCCCGGGGAGTCCAGGCTCTGGGGTCTGACAGGGCTCCTGTTCCTGTTCTGTCCCTCGCTACCTGTGCAAGTCTGGGCATTTACATTCCACGAGCCTTCATTTCTTTTGGTCCTGACATTGAGATGTTCAGAGGAATGACTGTACAAGAATCTGTCTTTTTCATTTTAGGGTCTGTCCAGTGAGGGATGCACACAAGTTGGAGGTGGCATTTCTGGAAGGTTCAGCATACATCCTTATGCTGAGATTGAAATGCTTCCGGGCAACGTCCTCATGTCCTAAGATGCTGCACTGACCCTGCATCGGGCACACACTACATAGTCCAGTGCGAGTGAGGGGAAGTGCAGGGGGTGCGCAGGTGGGTGTTGGGGTGCAATTTGGACTTGTTTCCCTTTTACCCTTTCCCCTGGGAGTGCTTTGTGGATGTGGACTTTTCCTCCTGCAGAAGTTAGAGACCTGAGCCGACAGGGGAAGCGGCGCCTTGCCTTCCCAAGCATGCAGAACTTAGATAAACGTTTGCAGAGTCCAGTCCAGTCTTACAGCCTGGCATTGGCCTCCAAGATCAACTAACCATGGCAAGAAGACACTGTCCTTATTTCCAAAACAACGCCATGTCACTAGACGGGAGCTGGACTTACCTGTCTGGGCTCCGAGGGCAGCGATCGCGGCAGGCACTGGGGCTGCTGGATCATTTGTTGCAGTAGGAACGAAGAATGATCAGGCTGCTGCTGCTGTTGCTGCTGCTGCTGCTGCTGCTGCTGCTGCTGCTGCTGCAAAGTGAGGGTGGCAGTGGTGGAGGCAGTGGCCGAAGAGGCCTGCGTCGCGGTCGCCATGGGTTGCTGCAGATAGTGGAGCAGGGAAGGCTGCCTGGAGGAGGCTGGCATGGAGGACAGCTTCTGAGGGCCCAGCTCTGAGACGAAATGGGACAAGGGCTTGGTGTTGCCAAAAGTGAAAGGCTCCAGGGTCCCTGGGCTGGGGCTGGCCAGCCCCTGCTGCATGATCAGTCTCAGGGTTTGGGAAGAGCCTGTGGGCATGGGCTTAAAGATCGCACTTGCTTGCTGCTGCAGTGGCAGTGGCAGGGGGGGCGGCTGCTGGCTGAGGGGAGTGCTGGTGGGCGTGAGGCTCCGGAGCAGTGAGCACTGCTGAGTGAAGGACTGCTGGGGCAAACTTGGGCTGGAGAGCTTCTCGGGACGATAGGGTGGCGAGGGCCCAGGGTTGCTGGCGGGCAGAGCGGACAGCAGGCGTCCCTGGGTGTTCTTAATGTTCGAGGACACCAGGTTGGCAAGAATGGAGCTGGGCGGGGTGAAATGCTGCTGCTGGCTGAGGGCTGGGCTGGAGAGCTTCTCGGGAACGTAGGGCATGAGGGGCCTCAGGGCAGTGCTGCTGCTGGTAGCCATGCCTGTGAATAAGGCATTGGGAGAGCCCTGGAGACTGCTGCCCGGCAGGTTGCTGGATGACATGCAGGACACCATGAGGTTCTGTGGGGTGAACGGTGGCGGCGGGTGTGGCGACGGCACTGGGTGGTAGGGTGGGGAGAGGCCTGGTGGAGGCAGACCAGACCAGCTGGGTGGGGGCACTGGCTGCTTGGTAGCAGAGCCCTGCTTGTTGGCTGCCAGTGCCTTCAGCTGGTGGGCATGGTGCCACTGAGGCACCCGGGGTGGCGGCACCGCAACTGAGCGCAGTGTCTGCCCCTGGATCTTGCTCTGTGCTGTCGAAGAACTCGAGGAGGCCATCTGCTTACTGGTGGAAGGTCCGGGGTAGTTGATCCCAGTGGAGGAGAGTGGTAGATGGAGGGACCCACCGGCACCTTGGCTGCAACTCGAGTTGCTGGGGCCCAGACCCTCCAAGCGTGGCATGGGCACCGCAGGCTTGGGAGCTGGGGGAATGGCTTCCGGGGGTTGCTCCAAAACTAGCGGTTCCTCTGGCTTGCTCCCGAGGATCTTCTCAAGATCTAGGTCACTAGCAGAAGGCTCTTGAATTTTTGTGAGCTCCTCCAGCAGATCTTGAAGTTCCTGGTCTACAGCGGACATGCTGTTAGGCACGTTGTTGGCTTTGTCATAGTAAGGGACAATGGGCCCTTTCAACTCCATGTCTGTGGCTGGGGGCACCACAAATGGGGAGCCCATAAGGTCGCCGTTCATGGGGTTGTTTTCCAGGAGGAGTGGTTGACCAACTATGGCCATAGAGGTTGCTCCTGGGTTCATTGGCATCGGAGGCACCGGAAACTTGGCACAGGGGGCACTGGGATGGGCACTCGGGCCCATAGAAAGGGTGACATCTTCAAGGCAGGGCCTCTTAATATTGTTAGGGTAACCCCCATCAGCCATGCCTGAAAATTGCTGGAAGTTGTCTCCCAGTTGTTTCCTCTTACTGGTGCCCCGTGGCTGAAAAAAGAAGAGAAAGAGAGTGTGGCATTGTTAGCAAGGCTTGGCGCGCGCGCACGCGCGAACGAATGAGCAGGAAACCTGCAAGGTAAAGCTGACCGCCGTGCCAAGACTAACAGTTGTCAAAAGTAGGAAATGCGCCCTATTGTTAGAACCATTGGGCCTGTTGCTTTGTGGCGGTGTTTCATCAGAACCAATGGTGACCCAAAGGCATGCAGAGGACAGTGTTTGTCCAATTAAAGAGGAGTTCCACGAAGTCAGTAGAAATCGCTAAATGAACTACCCTGCCAAAGGGAGGCACTTAAGAGCAACCTAGAAGTAGCTCAGCTATTTTCAACTCTGACTTTCCTACAGATAGCCTTGAGCTTGCTGAAGGGCAAGCGCCACATGGACATAGACCTTGCGACTCGCCTGCCTGTTGTGGTGAGATGCATCAAGCTGCTAGGGAAAGTGGAGCATGACAGATCCCTTCAAGGGAGGAAGTAGGTATGGGGGCTGCTTCTCGCAGAGATCTTATTTAAGACGGAAGATATGCTGTAGAATAATCACGGTAGCCAGAGTCCAGTTATTTGTACACACACACACACACACACACACACACTGCCATGTGCACACCCAATGGCTGGGAGTTTTCATCTCTTGGGGAGTGGTGAGTGGCATGACTGACAATTCTTTATTTTAAAAAATGTTAAATCCTTTTATTGGGGGCTCGTTCAACTCATCACAATCCATGCATACATTCATTGTGTCAAGCACATTTGTACATTTGTTGCCATCATCATTCGCAAAGCATTTGCTTTCTGCTTGAGCCCTTGCTATCAGCTCCTCATTTCCCCCCCCTGCCTCCCTGTTCCCCCCTCCCTCATGAACCCTTGATAATTTATACATTATTATTATTTTGTCATGTCTTCCACTGTCTGACGTCTCCCTTCACCCACTTTTCCGTTGTCTGTCCCCCAGGGAGGGGGTTATATGTAGATCCTTATAATCAGTTCTCCCTTTCTACCCCACCTTCCCTCCACCCTCCCGGTATCACCACTCTCACCACTGGTCCTGAGGGATTTGGTTTGTTTGTTTTGAACCCGAAGGACCCATAAGCCAAATGACAACAACAACAATAATAAAGATATTACTTATCTACATAAGAAATTCCTCTTGCCTGATGCATCCTCAGGCCGGGGAGTTAGCAAATAACACGAAAGGCCCCATCTGGGCTCTGCACCGTGGAAGAGATGCCTACCATTCTGGCAAGCATTACCCTGGGAAACAAAGTGAAAACCGGAGGGAGGCGGTATTTCCTAAATCTCTTTCAAGACTTTATTCAATCACCCATGGCTGTCATGTGAATGACCACGACCTGCCCGTCCATAGATTTCATCAGTCAGCAATACCACTCTTGCAAGTAGTGGGGCAAAGGGCAGGCAGAGGAATGTGGGCTGCAATTCTTGGCATCGGGAGAGAGACTTGAACATCATCTAACAGAGGTATTTTTCCTGAAACACTAGGACTTGTTCTTGTTGGAAAGCGCTCTCTTCTTTCGGAAATCTTCCTACAACACCTGGTTCTCTACCAGCCCCTTCCATTGGGCTCTTCAAGTTCACTGGGGGCTCACAAGTCCATTGCTGCTGGGGACCCGGGTGCTTGACTTGTCCCAGAGCACCACAGCTAGCGCATGGGAGGTGGTGGCCTCACACCAGGCCCCGGTTTCCAGGCAGACTTGCAACCAAAGCCCGCCAGCCCCCCCCCGACCCGGTCTAATTTCTTCATTTGTAAAAGGAGTGGGATCCTTTTTCTGAACTCTTGGTACTGCTCGGGCTCTTCAATGAAACCAGGAAGCTTCAGGTCCCTTGGTATATTACAGAATTCCGGGTGGTACAAACTGGGAAGGTGCTGGACTGCTAAATAAAAGGTTGAAGAGTCGAATCCACCCGAAGGCACCTCAAAAGACATGGCAATTTGCTTCCAAAGATCAGCCATTGAGAAGCCCATGGAGGAGAAAAATGTGGAACAGAGCCACAGCCTACTCGAACCAAACCAAACCAAACTCCAGTCCTACTGCCTGGTTGAGACTGGAGGGCTCCTGAATTCCTGCCCTAAGACACTCCTCAAACTGAACAGAAACTGACCCGTGAGGTGACCTTTCAGCAAAATCTGAGATTGGCTCCCCAAAATACTGAGGGTCACTCCCCAGTACAGTGACCTTGTAAAAAAACCCACCTGTGTGAGACTGTGAGACCCTACAGTTTACAATGGCTTTAGGGTGATGATGAAAAGGAAAGAGGACAGGCAAGTTGTTGGTGTTGTGTTGTTAGCTGCCATCAGGTAGGTTCCAATTCATGCTGTCATCGAGTCAATGCTAACTCAGGGCGACCCTTCAGGGCAGGGTAGGACTGCCCCTGTGGGTTTCTCAGACTGCCACTCTTTTACAGAAATAGAAAGCCTCATCTTTCTCCTGAGGAGCCACTGGTGGCTTTGAATTGCTGACCTTAAGATTAGCAGCCAAGTGCATAACCACTACTTCACCTGGGCTCCTTCTGACTCCCAGCAACCTTGTGTACATTAGAACACAAACTAGATGGATATAGAACTGGAACCACCAGCAGAGCCATCCTGAGAAGCCTCACACATGGGGAAGAGTGTAATGAATGGTGCTGAACACACTGGGGCTGAAATGGTTGAATGGGCACCTCAACTGCCATTTAAACCTGCATTGAAAGCACGATGAATTCTGATGTAAAGAAATAAAGCAAAAAGGAAGCCCGAGGAGATGCTGAGGGAAGTGAGTCAACCACCAGAGGACAAATACGGTGTGAGTCCATTGTTAGGAAGGATGAAAATCAAGAAATGGCTTTTATACCCCAAAGAAAAAGATTTCTCTGGCTACCCAGGGTGAGAGGGAAGGAGAAGCCCTAGGCTAGTGGGGAGACAGGTGTTAACTTGGTGAAGAAGGAGATAACAGCCTATCAAAGGGAGATGGACAAATAAAGTGTGTGTGTGTGTGTGTGTGTGTGTCTGTGTTGGTGGGGTGGTGGTGGTGGTGGTGTCGGTGGAGATAGGATCAGCCACGGGGACGTTTGATAAGATGTTTACGTTATTGAATGCAAAGATGATGATCTGATGTGTAAACCTGTACCTAAATTCACAATAAACAACAACAACAACAACAACTATGGAGCCATTCTATAGTGACACACAATCATTGCAATCACCTTCTATTAACTATCAATAATTAATTATTATCCTATGAATCTCTTATGTTGCCTCCCCACCCAGTGCTGTCATCTCCCAGGGATGCGAGGTTCCATGCTTCTTTGCCTTCTCTTTTGAGGATTCCACAACCAGAAAAAGACCACTTGGAGGACCAGCCCTGTCCCCAAAGTCACTCAAGGCTGGAATGTCATGGGTTGGGCAGGAATTAGGGAGGGTGAGGCAGAGCAGGCACAAGAAGGGGACTAACCAATCCTCTGGTCTGCTATCCAGCCTGCCCCTGAGCTGTCCCCAAGGCAGCTTGCTAGATATTTGGCACACAGCAAGCACTCAGTAAATAACAGTGGTGTGACTCAATGGGCCTCTCAGCTGCCAAGTGGCCTCACCACACAGGGAGCACTGTCACATTCGTTCCAGCAAGTATTAGTGGAGGCAGCCTGCAAACAAGTCCCAGGGGACCCTGGCTGTAATTTCATCTCTTCTACACCCGCCCTGCCCCGCACCTAAAGAACTCAAACTCATCCCATAGAGTACAGATAGTAATGTATGGAGTGGATCATTAGGGGTGCATGGTTGCAGGCTTACACAAGGTATCTGAGCTGGGAATGGTTAGGGACCACTGTGTGAATTCAATGCCTTGCCCTGCAAGGCACGTTTACCACCAGTGAAGTCTAGATGGGGCTGGAAGTGGCACTGCCTAGAACAAGGACCAGGTGAGCCACTGCTGTTTGGTGGCAGCTGATCAGATGAACGCTCAGAAGTTCCCACTCAATCCTAGTTCTAGAACCTAGCCCGAGGCCCCCGTGGCGGTGACAAGGACACCTGAGAATCTGAGTGGGACCACCTCTGCTCTGCCAAATCTGGAGCTGGCCACTCCTCTTGATTTCCGCAGGGGAAGGTGGGGGAGGCTTGGGTGGGGTGTGTTCTGCCTATGGTGGTGGCAGGGAGTGAAGGGAAGTGTACACTTGGCTGGAGGGTAAGTAAGAATTCTCCGCAGCGAGCCTGGCACACCAGGCTGGCTGGCCAGGACACCAGTCAAGCCCAAGCCAGGCTGCAGGAAGGCGAGCTGCGCTTACCCAACGTGCTTAGCCTCGGGTTGTGTTTATAGACACGCTCCGCCTGGCCTGGCTAACATCTGCTTGCAGCAGACAGCAGTTAGGCATGGCAATCTATTATCTGGCTAATTTTTGCCCTAGAGAAAGGTCCGCCTCAGCCCCTCCTCCTTCGCAGCCCTGCAGTTTGCTACTCATCACAGGGCCACACTGCCACCTTTGCTGGGGGACCAGGCTTGGGTGCCTTTGCCAAGGTTCTGACCTGGGTGGGATTTGGGTTGTCTTGTATTTTAATAGGATTAGAAAGAATATAGTGTTTTTCTTTCTTATCTGCTATACGGTTACTCATTGGGCAGTTAGCCGAAAAGTGGACATTTTGAACCCACCAGCCATTCCTTGAGAGAAAGATGAGGTTTTCTCCTCCCAGAAAGCTTGGTAAGCTGGGAAGTCCTAAGGTGCAGCTCTCTGCCCTCTAGGGTCACTCTGAATTGGAATCGACTCCACAGCAGTGGCTATGAGTTTGCTGATGCCAATGGTTTGTGACTGACTACTCACCTAAAGGGTATTGATTTGAGCCTACCCTGCAACATTGTGAAGAAAGGCCTGGAAATCCGCTTCTATACCGATGACAGCCAAGAAAACCATATGAGGTTTTCTACTCTGGAACACACGGGGCTGCCGTTGAGTTGAAATTGACTCGACGGCAGTGGGTTTGGCTTGTTTGGGGACTTCTGGGAGGGT